AGGAGCGCAGGAAAGGGGGCCGGGGGGACCCGCCCCCGGTCGGCCGCAACCATGGTGAGCACGGGGCCTGCAGGCCTGCAACGGGCGTCCAGGGGAGAAGCCGGCGGGGGTCTCCCGAGGGCTGGTGGGAAGGCTTCTGGGCTGGTGACAGTCCTGCAGGACCTGCCTGGGGGCTCGGGCATCCCGCAGGCCCCGGACGTCTGGCAAAGTGGGCCGCGGGCACTTCGAGTCCCCGCTGGTGGGTGTCATGGGGAGCAGGGGCGCCTCCCGTCATCTGCAAGCCCACGAGGGGGGTCTCCAGGGTGGCATCCCCGGGGTGACGTTGAGAAGGGGCCAGGCTAGGCCTTAGGCCTCCCTGGAACCGTCAAGAGGGGAGAGTGGTCTGTGCAGGAGTGCGGGGGTCTCCTGGAGGCGTAGAACCATCTACAAGGGTCGTCGAGCCTCCTGGGTCAGCCTGGTGGGAGGTCAGCGTGGGGCAGGCGGGGGCTCCTGGGTGAAAGGCCGAGAGCCGCAGGGCCTGAGCAGCAGCAGCAGCCCTGGAGGCAGACAGCCCACTCTTCCCCTCTCCCCCCAACTCCCTGTGCCCAGAACTCCAACGTGGAGAACCTGCCCCCACACATCATCCGCCTGGTGTATAAGGAGGTGACCACGCTGACTGCCGACCCCCCCCGACGGCATCAAGGTCTTCCCCAACGAGGAGGACCTCACTGAACTGCAGGTCACCATCGAGGGCCCCGGTGAGTGTCAGAGAAGAGGCCAGCCTCCCTCCCCCTTGGGGGGGGACACGGTGGAACAGGACCCCGCTGAATGTGGGGTACAGCCCCTGGGAGAGGGGGGAGAGGTGTGATTGAATCAGAGTGGGGCTGGTGGCTAGAGACACCGTGTGAGCAAGGGCCTGCAGGGTGGGGTGCAGGACCTCTGAGTGCCCCATCCCTAAGGTGCTAGGGACCCGTCACTAACAGGAGACAAGTCTGATCCAGACCGGAAACACCCAGGTGTCAGGGGGCTTGGGTGGTACAGGGAGGAAGAGGATCAGGACTGGGGGCAGATGAAAACAGCTCGGTTCAGGGTCCTAGAGCATTTTGGGGGAGGGGGGTGACAAGTGGAACCTTCCGGGCTGGGATGAGGGCCTTCCAGGCCCGGTGAGGAGTCTTCCCCCAGGAAACTGTTGGGAGTGTGTGAAGGCAGGCATTGGTGGCACTTGAGGCCCAGCAGGGAGTCAGGGTGCAGGAAGTGGATGGGTTCAGGCCAGGAGAAACCTTGGGTGTCTCTTGCCGGCACCCACATGATAGGTGAGGGTCTCAGGCAGATATGAGGAGGACAGTCAGGTTTGGGGAAAAGGGAAGTTGGGGTAGGATGCACACGTGGAGGGGACGTGTGAGGGGTCCTGGTGGTCCCTGAACGGTTTGACCTAAGCCATTAAGTATATTTGGGGGACCACACATGAAGTGGGGAGATGTGGAGCTGAGTGAGGTTTCCAGTCCTGTTTTAGTGGGTGTACTGGGCTGGGGCTGTGTATGTAGAGAGATGGGGAGAGAGCCTGGGTTTCAGAGACTCAAGGGGCCCGAGGGCTCCTACACTTTCTGACCAGCCCCCCCAACCTCTTCCTCCTCAGAGGGCACCCCCTATGCCGGAGGCCTCTTCCGTATGAAGCTCCTTCTCGGGAAGGACTTCCCTGCCTCCCCTCCAAAGGGCTACTTCCTGACCAAGATCTTCCACCCCAACGTGGGCTCCAACGGCGAGATCTGTGTCAACGTGCTGAAGAGGGACTGGACGGCGGAGCTGGGCATCCGCCACGTGCTGCTGGTGAGTGCCCGGCCTCGGAGGAGGTCGCTGCGGCTCCTGCCTCGGACCCTGGGCGGCTTTCAGGGTTAGGCCCCTTGTGACAGGGTCATTCGGTGACCAGGCTGTACAGCTCATGGTGCAGGAACGGTCACCATCTTAAAGTGCAGGGTTTTGTGACAACTTGGAAAGCTTTGCGTCCACCATAGTCTGACTCAGAACATCCTCCCAGCTGGGGGGCTGCCCTCCTCCCTGGAGCGGGGTCCGCCCCGGATGGTGCCCCTGTTCTGTGTCAAACGGCCTGAAGCCCAGTGCGGCTCTTTTCGTGGCCTTGTTTACAGACTTGGCTGGGTTCCTCAGCTTCGATAGTTTTGGGAATCAGGTGAAGGTTTGCAGAATGGCCTGTTTTGCGTGAGTGTTCTTCAGGTGAAGGGTTACAGAGCACGATGATTTTCACTTAGAACGTTTGATGGCGGAGTTGTACATGTTTTGTTGAGTGACAATGCAGGATTTTTGTTTGTATGTTTTTATTATTTGTGTGTATGTACCATCAGATCGGATCTGACTGGTACAGGAGGAGGTGGCCCCTCCTTCTCCAGCAGAGCATCTGATGGATTCAAACCGTGCACCTCTGGGATTGCAGTGCATCTTTTTGCCACTAGGCCACCAGATTTTTAAAAACAAAATTCCTGGTGAACCCTGGGGTGCTGACCCTTCCTGTCTATGGGTCGGTCCCCTGAGGGACAGACGTACTAGGTGACGTCACAGTGACTGTGACAGTAGGTTTTCCTGTCCCCTGGTAGGGCAGTGGAGAGTCGGGGCTCTGGTGGGGGCATTGACCAGGATCCCAGGTCCCCTCCCCTGAGCCGGATCTCTGTCCTCTTCTCACTTCAGTCCCTTGTCACCTCTGTGCTGCTGAGCAGGCCCTGGGGCTCACTCCGGCCACAAAGCCCACAGGCCTGGCCTCTGGACACCCCTCCCAGATGCAGATCCCATGCTCTTGGCACTTTTCTGCCCCTGGCTGGGGGCTGAGGGTGGGTGTGGAGATGATCCTATGAACCCACCTTCTCAGAGGTTCCTGGGAAGGGGCCTGGACTTGGCCCTGGTCCCAGTATGCAGCCTGGTGGCTCTCAACTTGGGGTGCCTAGTGACGTCGATGCCACTGTGGCTTTGTGGAAAGGTGGGTGTGGGGGACGCGGGGGACCCAGCTCCCGAGCTGAGCAGCCCTGGGACGTGGTCCCAGTCCTGCCATCTGATCCTGCCTGGAGGCCACTGGGGTCCAGCTTGGCCTTCCCAAGCCGCTTGGCAGTCCAGGGCCTTCGGTCGTGGAGTGACGACGGGCAGGGGCACAGCGCCCTTCTGACTGCCCGCCGGCCTCTCCCCCAGACCATCAAGTGCCTGCTGATCCACCCGAACCCCGAGTCCGCGCTCAACGAGGAGGCGGGCCGCCTTCTGCTGGAGAACTACGAGGAATACGCGGCCCGCGCCCGCCTGCTCACGGAGATCCACGGGGGCGCTGCGCCCAGCACCACCACGGCCGGGGGCGCCGCGGCCGCAGACCCCACGCTCCCCGGGCTCCCGGGCGCCGACGGGCCCATGGCCAAGAAGCACGCGGGCGAGCGCGACAGGAAGCTGGCGGCCAAGAAGAAGATGGACAAGGACAAGAAGCGGGCGCTGCGGCGGCTGTAGCGCCCTTCCCCCCTGCACCCCGTCCCTGCCCCCAACCCCTCCCCTCCCGGTCCTCCGCTCCGTCTAAGTTATTTAAGTTATGGTTGGGGGGAGGGCAGGGGCGCACTGGGGCCTGGACTTGTTTTTCTAAATAAAGTTGTAAAAGCAGCTGTTGTAAGAGTTTGAGGCCAGGCGCCCCGCTGAGCCCCACAGTCCTGACACCTGCCCGGAGTAGAGTGGACCTGCCCTGTGCGTCCCTCAGAGGTGGGACTTGGGGACACTTGCTCCCCCCACTGTCTCTTATGTGTGGAGGACCTGCCAGTGACCGCACCCTGACACTCTGGAGGGCACGTTGTTTGTCCTGGGTGAGAAGTATCCTCGCTCCCCAGACCTGTGTGAATGGCACCCATCAGGGTCCCCGGCAGCCGAGCCTTGCCCTGCACCGTGCAGGTGAGGGGTGGATTCGAGGCGTCATTCCCCCTCCGTTCTGGGGTCCATCCATCTTTTCAGGCCTGCCTCGTGTCTGGCTGCAGGTCCACCACAGATCACAGGTGTTGCTGTGGGGAGCACAGGCCCCCCAAGGCCCGGCCGTCCGTGTGTTTTGAAGGCTGCACTGCTCTGCTTCCAGCCACCTCCATCCGGCATCTGTCCACTGGGAATCCCTGTGGTGTGGACTCCGGCCAGACGCTTGGTACCACACACTCCCCGCCTTGGTCAGCCCCACCCCAAGTGTCCCGCTGAATCCCTGGTGGTGCAGCGAGGGCTTAAGCACTGGGCTCACCCCACAATCCTTCCTGAGAAAGACGCAGCTGCTCGGAAACTCGATGTGGTTTCCATTCGCGAGTCCGAATCCCCTTGAGTGGTCGTTCTTCCCTGCCACCCCACAGTGTCTCAGACACAACAGGACATCATGAAGCGAGGGAGGTGTGAGACGCCCCAACCTCACTGTGAGAGAACCTTCCTGCTGGGGTACAGGGACAGCATCCCCCAACACAGGGACCTCTTCACCCTCCACCTCCTGGAAGGAGGCCTGGGGGTGCTGTGGTTAGAACGCCCCTTTCCGAGAGGAGGCGCCTTCCGGGGAAGGTCCCCCGTGGGCACCTGTCCTGCCTGTCCCTGTGCCTCACAATCGATGGCAGTGGCCTCAGTGCCTCTCGGACTGATGGGATGTCATGGGGTCAGGACCACATAGGTGATGAGAGGGGGGACAGGAGAACTGGGAGGCAGAGATGACCCTTGTGTAGACTCATTTCATTGTGAAGCTGGATGCTTCATGGCGGCTTGTGCGCTCGGACTCAGGCCTCCCCTCACCCCACCGTGGCACCTGAGTGTGTGTCCATCTCTGAGGGTCTTCCTCCCCCAGATAGACCAGCTGTCCCAGATCCCACCTTCTGGGGACATGAAGAGCACCTGGGCCAGCTCTGCATTATCTCTCGCGATAGCTCATGAATTTTCAAATTTATCTGAAAACTCATAAAACGATCTTGATGAGAAAGACCCCCACCCCCGCCTCCACCAAACTGCAGTCCTGTAGCTTCATGTCTACCTGTCCTCACCCTTCCACTCCCCCTTCCTCTCCCTGATTTCCTGTATATGTTTTAGAAGTTAAAAGACGTATTGCGATGGGAAAGTCTGCTGTTAGGGACCTCTCCAAAGTACGAAAGAGCAACAGTGTCACTCTGAAGACTAAGGTGCAGCTGATACAGGCCATGGTCTTTGCAATCACTTGCTATGCATTAGAGAGCTGGACAATGACTAGGGAGGATAGAAGAACTGATGCCTTTTAAGCTGTGGTGCTGGAAAAGAGTACTGAATAGACCATGGACTGCTAAGAGAACAAAACAGGTTCAGCCTGGAGAGGGTTAAACTAGGCTGATCTTGGAGGCAAGGATTCTGGGCCTTCGTCTGACATACTTTGGACATGGTGTAAGGAGGGACCAGTCCTTGGAGAGGGATGTCATGCTCGGGAAGGTGGAGGGACAGCACAGGAGGGGAAGGCCCTCGATGAGGTGGATTGATTCAGTGACCGGGGTAATCAGGGCGGGCGTGTTGGAGACAGTGCGATTGGCACAGGACAGAGGATGGTTTAGGACTGTTGGATATAGGGTCACCATGAGTCACAGGTGACTCACGGCACCTAGCAACACCTAGACTGATAGGCGACATCATGATGGAGAAGATTGAAGTTGTCGATGACATCATCTTACCTGGACCAACCATCAGCACCCTCCGTTCCAGCACTCAGGAAATCAGGAGACATAGTGCACTGGGAAAGTTAGCAGTTGGGGAACCTCTCCCAAATTCTTGAGGAGCAGTGAAGTCAGTTTGAAGTTAAGGTGTCTCTAATTGTGGCCACGGTCTCTGAATCACTTGCTGTGCATCTGAGAGCTGGACAGTGAAGGACAACAGAACTGACGTCTTTGGGCTGTGGCCTGGAGAGCAGGACCACCTTCCTCATGGACGGCTGAAAGAGCGTGTCTTGGAAAGGGAGCGGCCAGCGGGCTCCCTGGAGCCAAAGCTGGTAGAGCTTTGTCTCTCATACTTGGGGCATGTTGCTAGGAGAGGGACAGCGTTTTTGGCAAGGTGGAGAGTTCCACTAAGGCACAGTTTGTCATTCACAGCATCTTTGAGTCAGAACTGACAGTGCATTACCACCACAGTAGCATCGTGATAACCAAGCAAGAAATGTCCCCAAATGTCCCCTAGGTGGCAGTGTCCCTTAGCTGAGAACCAAAGCTCACCACTGTCCAGTGGGAACCTTCCACTGACCCTCTTCCACTGCCAGCTTGTGGGTCACCAGCACAGCCCCCCGTGGACCTGGCCGTGAGAGCACCACTGGTCTAATGAGAACAGCTGCTACTGCTGGTGGACACTGCCGGTCAGCACCAACTCAGTGACCCCGGCGTAGCCTTGCCCCATCCTCACCTTCTCAGCCTCCACTGTCCTGAGTCCATTTTTGTAGCCACAGTGCCAGTCCGGCTGGGTGAATCTCCCTCCTTCGCTGACCCTCGGCTTATCCAAGTCTAATGTCCATCACAGGGGCTGGGGCTTCCAGACCACATGGCCAAAACACACATGTCCCCGTCCTCTCTTTCAAAGGAGAGTTCTGGCTACACTTCTGAGACGGGTGTTTTTCGGGCGGTGTATTCTTCTGGCAACTCCAACATTCAAATTAAGTCTCTGGGGGACTCGTCCTTGGAAGACATGGTGGGTGGTAAAACAGAGGGGTCAGCAGAAGAGTGGAAGGTCCCGAGGGAGATGGGCTCCCAGCCGATTGGGAGGATACGACAGGACAGGGCAGAGGTGAGTTCTGGTGTCCAGGAAGCTGCTCTAAGACCACACACAACGGCACCTCACAGCAGCAACCAGCTGTTAATTTTTAGTGTAGTTAATGGGTTCCATAGACATGATAGTTCAAACTCCATCTATTCACACACTTTCTAGTTGAATACATGTGTTTATACATGTTTTTAAATAAATATTTAAACTGGATCAACAATCAGCACCAGATTGGAAATCAAGAAATGTATTGCATTGGTAAAGTTTTGTTATTTACATCTATTTTAAATTAAAAATACGTATTAAGGACTTCTTCCATAAAGACCAGGGCAGGCCTGGCCAGGTGCTGTGTCCGTTTTGTAGTGAGATGAGTAGGAGGGGAGGTGGCGGCCGAGGGCAGGCAGGCGGGCAGGAGTTTGGACAGGGAGTCCATGGGGCTGCAGGGTGAGGTGTCTGGTCTTGGGACAGGGCCCTCAGGGTGACAGGCACAGACTGGATCCCCTCACCCCAGCAGTGTATGGTCCGGAGGCAAGCATGACCCCAGCCACCCTTACCAGGCTGAGCCCTGTTGTCAAGAGCAGCTCTGGTGGTACAGTAAGTGGTGGGTTACCTCCAGGTCAGGAGTTCAAACCTATCATCCGCTCTGGATATATCTGCTCCTCTAAAGGTCTTGTTATTGCAGGGTGCCCCAAGTCAGCTAGGACTCAGAGCAACCCCCCAGCCTAGGGGTCTGAACCTTGTTATCTATCTTTTCTCCTCTGCATTAAGTCCAACACACTTGGCCTTAGTGCTAGTCACGGTCAATCTATCATTGAGCATCTTCCTGTCAGTGATCCTTCCCCAAGGAGTGACCACTCCTTGAATGACCAATATATGAGGTGGAACTTGACTGGCCTCATTTCTCAGAGAACCTGGCTGACCTATCAATTCTCTTGACCATCCATCCAGTACTCTGTTCAAAACGTATCAACTCCTCTGTCATCTTTATTCCTTCACCAGCTGATACTGGTTGTTGACTGCCTTCAAGTTGAACACGACTCATAGCGACCCTTTGAACAACTATCGCCATCAGTTTCCAGAGGCATGGTGTTTAGGAAGTGGATGCCACTCCTGCCTGCTCCAAAGAACTAGAAATACCATGGCTTCAATCAGATGCACCTTGGTTGTTTTTTTTTTAATTATTTTTGTGTGTGTACCATCAAATCAGGTCTGACTGGTACAGGAGGAGATTGTCCGCACACCTCTGGGATTGCAGTGCAGCTTCATGCCTCTAGGCCACCAGAGCTCCCTTGCACCTCGATTCTTAAAGTTACTCCATCACACCTTGGTGGGGTCCTCAAGAGCAGTGCATCTTTTCATTCCTGGTGCCAAGGGTGCTGACTGTGGACCCAAGAGGAAACTGCTGACAAGTACAGTCTCTCCTTGTATCTGAAGACCCAGAACCTTGCCAAACTGCACGGCAGGTCCTGACGTCCCCCACCATGGATGATTCTCTCAGCCTTCTAGCTGCACTCACCCAGCTTTCTGGTGTCCACCTTACTATGGAGGTACCAACCCCCCCCAATTTCAGACAAGGGCAGAAAGATCTGGTAATTGACCCAAGAACAGGCACTGCAACCCCAGACAGCAAGGGCCACAGGGAGATGGGCAGAGAGGGCAGCCAGGAAGCCCTCCTGTGGACAGACTGGTGGCAGGGCAGTCTCCTGGAGGGGAAGATGATCTCAAGGCCGGAGGCTCCTGGGAAGCAGTCCTGGGGGCTGTCTAAGGACAGCAGAGGCTGAATAACCAGCCAGGGTGAAGATGAAGCAGGCTGGGTCAGGGAGGGCCGCTCAGAACCCCCTGCTGTGGGACAGGTTCCTTGGCTGCAGGTGGCCTTCCAGTCACTCTCACTTTGTAATGAATAGGGACCCCAGCAGTGAAAACCCGACAGTGTCCCCGTATCAAACCTGCACAGCATCAGACCACCAGCCTCATTCCCACCCCACCCCCAAGACCTTCCCTCCCTCCCAGAGAGGGCAGCCCTGACCTGGTCCTCTGAGCTCTGGGAACCCCCAAGGAGACAAACGGCCTATAACAGGGACCAAGTCAGTCCCTCCAGCGGACAGAAACTTGGTCATTTGCAGGCTGCAGGGCTGACAGACCCTTCCCTCCCGCCGGGTGGGCGGGTGAGGCCCTAGGGCCAGCGTGCTCTCATCTCCACTCAACCACCTTTCTGAAACACTGCAAAGTCCCCGTCCCGAAGCTGTTGTCAGAAGGCACCCTTTGAGGGAGCTTCTGTGACCTGGGGGGATTTCTTTAACCCACGAACCCTACTTGTGCGGCCCTGCTGAAAAGGTCATGAATGACCCACCACTGGTCACTCCTTATTGAGGATGAGGAGGCAGGCTGCTGGGGGGCTGAGCGGAAAGGGGGTCCTGCCCCGAGGTGGACAGTGCTCGGAACCCAGCACAGGCAGGTGGCACAGAGACTCGGAGGCCCAGTGTGGCGGAGACAAGCTGTCTTTATTGCTGGGGGGCTGGGGCGGCTGGTGCTCAGGAGCTCTTGGTGGGGCGGGTTCGCTTCCTCTTCACCATCACCGGCTTCTTCTGGCTGCGCAGGATGGCGCTGGCCCTGCGGATGGCGGCCATGCGCAGGTCCGGCCGGTACTTGTTCTTGCGGATCATGTGGCGGATGCTGCTGAGGGTGGCCCGGGCGTTCTTGTGGATGGTGGTCCGCACGTAGGAGGTGGCCGGCTTCCTCTGGCCTGAGGGAGATCACGGGTCGGTTAGTGGGACCACGGGGTCTCGGGGTGTCAGACTCCACGCCTCCATTTGTGTGGAGAATCACAACAGGGGTGTCCTCAAACCTTCAGAGTAACCCCAGTCTGCACCACCTCCCAGCCAGACCCTGCATTTATGGGGCCTGCGGTGACCTCAGAACCCGGGCCACCTGACACAGCAAGCCAGGGGGAGGGGACACACAAGGACAGTGAGCTGACAGCAGCCCTGGACCGGGCCACACTCACTATGTTACAGGGACTCTGGCAGCCAAGTGGTAAGGAGCTGTCAACGCAGAGACGTGTGGTTCACATCCACGAGCTACACCCCAGGATAAAGATGGGCAATCATCTCATCCCCTGTGAGCAACCTCCCCTGAAAACCTGGCTCAACTATGAGTCACTTCTGACTCGACAACACATAAAAGTCATAAACTGGAAGCTGCACTGCAATCCCAGAGGCGCACAGTTCGAATCCACCAGATGCTCTGCTGGGGAAGGAGGGACAATCTCCTCCTGTACCAGTCAGATCTGATTTGATGGTACACACAAATAATAAAAGTCATAAACTGGCTGGTGGCATCTGGAGGCCAGACAGGACAGGCAGCGTGTCCACACAGGACACACGGGAGGGCTTCTGAAATGCACTTGACTCCAATGGAAACATGACCCTGACTTAAAATAAACGGTGTCAAACTACAGCCAATTTCTTAAGAGCCAAGAAAGGCTGCAGTAATTCTGTCCCCCTCCTCTGCGATCCCTGCGTCCAGGCTGGAGCTACCCTTTCAAGAAGAATCCAACTGGCTGGCTGGGTGACAAGGAGAGTCCTGGAGGGAGAAGAGCCCCTACCAGTGAGAACACCTCTTTCTATGCCCATGGGGGGCTGACTCCCCGCTAGGGCCTCCAAGGGCCAGCACCTCCTCCACATGGAGGATGGAAGGACCCATCCCCACCTGAGGGCTGATGGTTTCGGGGGACTCTTGTGATCCAGGCTTCAAACATGCCAGGTCTGGCAGAGTGCATACTGACTCCCTGGGACTCATGACAGCACCCCTGCCCTGCAGAACCGTTCTGGACTGGCATCGTGGCGGAGACCAGAACTACAGCACCCCTATGCTGGCCTTTCCACACACAGCCCAGTGTCACTACCCTGCTGCCAGCCCTGGACCAGTATTTTTTAAAAAAATCTTAATGAAACTTTACAGAGACTTTGGATTTCCATTCATTCATTGTTGCACACTTTCCTCCCTATCTCACTTTTCTCTTCAAGAAGTAAAAAAAAAACAAACACAAAAACACCTTATGTTATACAATCCCCCTCCCCACAGTCCACTATGCAGCCCTCATTCTGGACTCTTGTCGTGACAATAAGACCAAATCGTATATCCTTTCCAAACAGTTCTCTCTCTCATCTGTTTGAAAGTACTTTATCCCCTCTTAGTTTCCCCCTTGAATCATTGTTTACAAGAAACATCTCTTGACAAGAGATGTGAGAATCACTTCTCTGACCACCAGCCCAGAACTCCGGCTGCTGTCATGTCAAAGACCAGCAGGACGCTGTGGGGCAGCTTCTGCCCCAGAACCCTCTAAGGCTGTCACCTTTCAGAGAGCACATGGCCCAGTCTTTCTCCTGTGGGGTCAGCAGCTCCGTCTTTGACAGCATCACAGGATGAGAGGTGTTGGGAAGTATCCTATCCAAACACTCCACATCAGACCCCCAGGACCTGTCAACCCGGGTGATTCCTGCCTCTGATGTCCCCCAAACAGCCCACACGCACTCAGAGAGACCCTAACAGAGATCGCAGCTGCGCCCCACACCCCCTGCAAGCTCAGGCAGCCTTGGGATCAAGTTGGACTGCCCAGAGTTCTGATCCAGCCAGGTATTTCCATGTGCCAGGTTAAAGCCTACTCTTCTTTCTCCCCGTAGGTGCTACCACTCGGCTTGGAAAAGCAATCACCCGCAGGGGTGCAGGTTTCTAGATCCCACCGGGACTCGCTCCCCTGGCGGTGCTCCTGGCCCAAACTCACCTGACCTCCGCTTCATCACCACCACGACCCCCTTGTTGTCGGGGGCCGGCTCCACGCCCACGGTCTTGCGGTGGATCAGCCCATTGTAGCGGAAAGAGTTGCGGGCTTTGAGGTTATTGGGCTCCTGGGAGGGAAGGAGAGAGATAAGGTGGGATGCGTCCTTAAGCCCAGAGTCCTGGCTCCAGGACCCTCGTCCTCCCGGGGAATCGGGGGGTTCTCGGCCCCACCCCGCTCCTCCCGGGGTCCATGCGCCCCACTCACGGTGCTGTAAGTCTGCTTGTTCCTTTTAATCAAGAAGCTGGAGCAGTTACGCACGACCATCCATTGCAGATGGGCAGACATGGCGGCAGCTGCGGCGAAGAAACGCGACACGTGAGCGATCGCAAAAGGTGGGGGGGACAGACCGCCGCTCCGGGGCTGGGAACCAGGGTGGACAGGGTACGGGGGGGTCCCCGCAAACTCACAGCCGCCTAGAACTGCGTCTGCGGCGGCCTAAGCGACCTAAGGCGGCGGGGGCGGCACGCAGGCAGCGAGGTTCACTGCGGAGCGTGGGGACGGAAAAGAGCGTGGGATCGACACGGACGCGGGGGAGAGCACGGGGCAGCCGAGGTCACTCGGAGCCGCGATGGGGCCGGAGAACACCGCGCGGCGGGCTCGAGATGGCGACCACGCCGGGCCACCAAGAGCCGCGAGCTTACCTCCTAACGCAGCGGCGGCCAGAGGCGGAAAGAGACATGCAGAAGGAAGAGCCCAGCCTTTAATATGACAGACGTATTTCCGCTTCCGCCCCGCCCTCGCCTGCGCAGTCGCTCTGCCCCGCCTCCTCCCGATCTTCGCCTTTGCTCTCCGAAGCCGCTCGGGACTCTTCGGCTATTTCCGCCCACCCGATGCGTAACTCTCGGGAATCTTCGGAATCCTTCGACTCAGGAACAAAAGGGGGATGTTTCTGATGAAACTATTGGACCCCTCAATAGTTTGGCAGTTTTTCATAACCTCTCGGCTGAATTTTCCGAGCGCTCTGACTTTTTCGAGTCCGGTTCTGCACCGATTTCCTTCCAGTATTGTCAGAAGTCCTGGACAGTATGGCATGTGATGGGCGCACCATAAATACTTTTTTAATTTTTTTCTTTTTTAAATTTTAAAAACATTTGTTTTGCTTTTTTTTTAATGACAGTTTGAATTAGTAAACTATCAAGCTCCGCTCTGGGGTGTTCAGGGGCTGCCAGTCTTTGTGCGTAAGGGGTGTTTTCGAGGCTCGTTCGGAACTTTCCGGAAAGGGGACATCGGCCTGCTTTGATTCGCCCGCGGCCGCTCGGTCTCCACTCGGCTGCACTCGGACTTCTTCGGCTAGTTCCGGCAGCTCCTCCTTATTTCGACCTCTGCCCGCTCCCCATCCTCTCAAACTAGTCTGGGGAATGCTTGGGTGGAACTTCCATGCGGGAGGCTATCTGTTGGGAGCATAGAGTTCCTCTAAAAGAGTGAACTGTTTGGAGGAGTTAAGATTTACGTGTGAAAATGCTTATTCAGTTAAAAAAAGGGATCTCTCCCAGTGCCTGTCGCCTTCTTCCCTTTTTTGCTTTGGGGCTCCTTCCATTCTGCTCACAGCAGCCCCAACAGGATCCTGTAGAACAAGCCCCTTAGTTTCTTTACCTGAATTGATCTTTCTAGCGCACGGCCCCTGCGTGGGTTTGAACCCTTAAAACTTTTCAGTTAGCAGTCCTTGCAGAGAGCGTCCTTCAGCTCTGATTACCACAACAAACTCACTACCATCTAATAAATTCTGACTCTGCAGCCGTGGAGGACAGAGCAGAACTTTCTAGGCTGTACATCTTTACTGAAGCCTAGTGCCAGCCAGCTGTCTTCTGCAGAGCAGCTAGTGGGTTCAAACCACCGACCTTTTGGTTGCCAGCCCAATTCGTTAACCACTGTTCCAGAAAGGTTCCTTTCTGTCCTGGACTCCCTGAACATTTCTTTTCTGTTGTCAGGATTTTCTTCTTTAAGGGGTAAGGGCAGCTCTCTGTCCTCAGTAGCTGGCATCAACCAGGCATCAGAGGACCCAAACAGCAACAACCACGAGAAGAAGGCCCCCAGGACGCTTCCATTAGCAGATCTGGGAACGTCTCCAAAGTCTCTCTGGCCACATCCATGTCTGTGCCTTTGGGTTTCACCCATAGGAATCCTGACAACACAGGAGGAAGTTGGTTTGTTTTTGTTTGTTTGTTTAGCAAAACAAAAATGCAAGTTTTATTAAAGAAAAGAGTGGAAAAGGAGGAAGCTTTTTAACAAATGCAAGTGATGGGATTTAAAAAAAATTTTTTTATTATTAATTTCAATGATAATTTACAGAGACTTTGGATTTCCATTCATTCATTG